CCAGCTGCTACTAATTTAATATAAAATTTGAAAAATATAAAATTTTGTGTACTGTTTCTCCATTTAGAATCTAGAATTGACATTTTCAGAAAACGATATTTTTTTTCTTTTTAATTTAGAGAATGTCTAGGTTTAGTGTATATCTTATTTAATTGATAGAACTGATGGACTATAGATTTTACTTAAGTGACGATTTTTGTCATTTAGAATTTAAAATATACCTGATCCTCATAAAAACAGTTCTTACGTTTGAAAAAAGCAAAAGGTTGTAGGACTCAAAATCATTTTGAATTATTTAATGAAAAGATACTCATTTTGTAAAAGAAAAAAAAAAGAGCTAGACTATCAAAATAAACCCCTTTTTTCTAAATCTGTTACTTGATTGTTGATCAATATTTTCAGAATTATAAGTACTAATGATAAAGTATGCACAAATGTCCTTGAGTGTGATTATCTGCAGCATTTTCGGACAGGTGGACTATAAAACCTGCATCTAAAAGCAGTGGGACTCTGTAATGCACTGTTAGTGCACAAGTCATTGTATCTGGCTAAAACTCAATTGCCTTGTAGCCCTGAAGGCATCAATTTTAGCATTATTGCTCTCAACAACAGTATATTGAATATTATGTCAGTTAAAGGAGAGTAATTATCTAGGCAGGTTAGGGTGGTTGTTAGTCTTACCACATATTGACTTGGTTAGAAGTTGGCTATAGATTGTGTTACTGGGCAAATGAAGATGTACGGTAAGTTGAACTGGCCAAGCCACGATATTAATTTCACTCTCTCTGGGCCCAGACCTACATCCTGTATGTCAGCTACTCTGCCTTCAGAAATAGTTTCAAATGTAGAAGAGGAGTAGATAGGTGATTTGAGTTTTGAATTTTGGGGTGTGGGCGAAAAAGAAGCAGGCCATTTAAAACTGTGGTTTAGGGACTATCATGTATGAGAGCTTCTTAAGGAAAAAGGAGGATGACAGTGATAGCACAAATTCATTTAAAAGATTGACATGTCAACTGAGGACCCTGGGCTTTTTCATAAAAACCGCCTTTCACTTACGTGATTATCTGTATGGCTTATACGTCAGCCAGTTGGGTGTAAAATGCATAAAGTGGACTGTAATTATTTAGGTAATATCTTACAGGTAAAAAAAAATCCAGTGTTTGCAAAGTATTTACTGAGAAGATACAGAGAAATAAGATAAATTTTAAACATGGGAAAAAATGGGAAACAAAAAATGGCAATATGCAGTTTGATGCTGCAATGTCCGCGTAAGGAAGCAGATGATGTTTTCTGCTACTGAAGAGCACTTTTTACTTCAGGTCTTTCTCATGTCTCTCCCTAACTGGCAGCCAGTAAAAGCAGGGTGACACCCTGTTGTCCTTTCCTCGTTTTACCTCCCTCTTGACTACGAAAATGATTTTCAGTTTAGTATAGAATTTTAAAACACTATACTTTATATATACTACATTTTACACTATGAAATACTAGCTTAATATAGATTTTCAGTTTCAGTGTGGTATTTAAAAAATCAAATTTTTTCATAATCTCTCTTTAGTTTGAACATGTGACTGATCTGCCCGGGCTTACACACTAGCCTCTCTGTGGGAATCTCCCTACTTGCAGGTGTTCAGAACTGACGCTGGCAGAATTCAGAGAAGCAGTTCAGACATTCTAAACAATTAACTGAGGTGTCTGCAGCCTGTGAGAGAGAAATAGTGAGGTACATCTCAACTCCCTTGTGTCTTAGGAGAACAGTCACTGCTCTGGGAGAACATCTCTCAAAGACTAATGGGGCCATTTGTCTTTGAGAAGCTCAGCTTAGATTGAGGAGGAGCTACTTATTGGGTCCTTATTTTAGAGCATTATGATACACATTAGCATAAGCCAGGATCTGAGTTTTGGAGGAAGTGCCTGTGAGAGTAGATAAATAACTTTTCCCACTTTGTAACTTTTTACTGTCAAGCAAATCAGAAATATTCAGTTCCTGAACAAACTCAAGTCTTCTTCAGCGTCAAGAGATTTGTAGGTAATGTTTCTTCTGCCTGAAATACCCTGTTGCACTGTATGGATTGGTAATTTCTTGTCTTTCAGGTATCAGCCAAAATCCCACTTTTTTACAGAGAACCAGATGAACCATGGTAGGTCTCTTCTGGTGTGGCTCTATCTTAGGACTCTTGCCTTCAAGTTTCTACCACAGTTTAAAATCAGTCAGTTAAGTCAATGGTTAAAATGCTTTCCCTGGGTTCCTTACTAGCGAATAACGCAAATGCAGGGCACTGAATAAAATATTGGTTAAAGGAACAGGGAAAGAAACCTTCTTAACTCGGTATGGCTCAATGTTCCACCATGAATCGCCTGGAATCCCAGTTTCAGCTGGTGTAGAGGGCCCTTGGAGGTTTTGCAGGCTTCCTAGGGACCGATTGTGATAGCTGCAGCCGAG